TGTACAAGCGCCGATTTTAGTCGGGAACAAATTCTGTCATATCCGCAGAGTATCTTATGACTGTATTGACCCGTATTGGATTAGTCATCCTAAAAGTACAGTTTGAACGTACGTAACACGGTTTGGCCATTGAGACGAGACGAGAAGACCAGCTACTGGGATAACTTTTAATTTCTTAAAAGATTAAGGTTAGACATTCATTTGGAAATTTAATGATGGAATAATACGACAAAACAGTTGGTATTTAATAATTTGAAAAGTGTACATACAAAAGGCAGTCATGGAGGTGTTGTTCAAGTGGAAGACGTAAGTTCGAACACCGAAGACTGCCGAAGCGCAATGTTGCACCCTTTCGGCGCGGGGTCGCGTTCAAAGGCGGTTGTCTGACGGAGCGGACTGCCGTAATGAAAGGGTTAAAGAAGGTTCGTTATGAATATTTTATACCTCCTGTCTCGATAATTTAAAAACTCTCGGTGGTAGCCAGATCGAAACCCCTCCATTGTCCATTACCCGGCAGGTTTCGCAAAATGTAGTAAAAGTACTCGCTTTAGATTCTAGCCATGAACCACTCCGAATATTTAAGGATCCCGATTTCGGAGCAAAAAGAAGTGACGATCCGATTGAAACTTTTCAGGCAATTCGTTATCGAAAGCTCAACACTTTTGCCAAAACTCCAAGATGCTTCGCTTGGCAGCTTGACCTAAATTTTAAATCGATACATGTAAAGGTACTTATTTTGTATTATTTGCACATTCGATCCCTTTTCCGAATCGAACACGATCTTTTCAAGTTCGCTAACAAACTTTTAAGAATAAATTAAATTTGAAATTAACTCTGCTTTTCCGGAAGAATACTTCTGGAAATCGTAGTCCCGAGATAGTCTCAAAACTCTCGTCTTTATTCGTTTCCTTATCGCCAAGTGAAATCGGATAAAAGCATTGCCATGGGACTAATATAGACTAACTTTCTGTACCTTCTCCAAAACCCCAATCTACAAAAAGTTACGAAAGCGATCATATCTAATAGCCTTGGCCATGTTGAAAGCATAAAAATAACACGATTTTTATTGCCAGATAAATACTTATTTCCTTAATTCCCTAGACTTCAATATACCTAACAAATAAATCCGAATTTCTATCTCACCTAAATAAATATAAGAACTTCTATTAAAAAGAGAAGGAACCGAGGGAAATATTCCAATAATATCTACAAAACTACAAGAAAAAGAGTGAAGAATTGAACTTGGCCTCTTTGCGCCTAGCTCCGAAAAATCTTTTCTTGACAGCAATCTTGACTTCTTCGTTAGCGAAAGCGGATAAGGATATCCGTTCTGCATTTCCGACGACAAAGATATCTTCGCGCCTCTGATTTTCAAGTTTGTATCTGTGGCTGGAAGTTTTTCTCGCGATAGAAAGCAACATCTGTCGACGGCGATAGAGTCAAGATTTCAGAAGAGATCGATGACGAGCATTGTCCACCAAAATCCGCTTAACGGACCGATCTTCTTCGACTCGGCCAAGTGCGATTTTCCTCGAGAGCCCTTCAACCGAGCGTCTTCATCTTCGACGTGCTTTAAGGTTCTTCACTGCCCTTAACGCAAGATTTCAAGTGCGGAAATCAAGTTCGAATTCGATCGCCTTGTTTCAGGGCCATTCGTAATCCTGCGTTTTCATATTGCATATGTCCTGTCTTCGAATATCTGAATCCAGCCTGTGAACGTAATATAAATATTTTTCTCAGGAGAAACTCAGAACACTTTTCCCATCATTTTACTTTCGTAACCCTGAAACATATTTCCTTAAAAAACACCTTACAATCGACGTCTATATGGTGAGTTATCCACTTGGGTGTAAGGCATTGAACCAAGTCCAAACGAGACCGTTTCAGATCTATCGGCGTTATTCCAATCGATCGTTTCTTCCAGTAAATGTAGTTTTTCTTTAGTCGTTTCTGGATTTCTTTGGAAATAACACGTTGAAATATATTGCGTTGAAAAATTAGCTTGAAACTAGGTACGGGGCCAGTTGGAGTTTCGCTCCCAATTGCCGATTGTCGCGATCGAGTCTCGTACTTACTTTCTGCGCCCACCTTCGGGTCCATCCATGGTCCATTCGAGTCTTCGCCTCGCGGAGTGTCTTTCATTTCCAGCACCCTCGTAATCGGTTTTCCGGGTCGAGCTTTGTCTCGCTTTTCAAGCTTGGACTCTTTGCTTGCCGTGGCCCTCCTAAGCCACTCCTGCAGCGGCTTGCAACTTCCGAGGGATTTCTTCTTTGTGCGGCCATATGTATGGACGTCTTATGTTCTCGTGTATATATGTGTGTGTGTTTATTTATTTATATACATTTATCGCTCGAGCTCACGGGTCCAAGATATGCTCCCAAGGTACCAATCTCTCGAATGCGCACCTTCACGGACGATTTCGAGATCGTAACTAGAGCCAAACTCGTTTTGAAATTGAAATCCCGAAGCAATACACCAACCGGGGAGTCAAAACTCGAGACCACCGGAGGAAAATCCAATTGGCTATCGACCGGTGGAATTCTGCGTCCAACGATAAAAATTGCAGGACCGCCTCTTCTGGTAACATCCCTCTTCAAAAACGCGCCATCCATCGCTTTTCTGCACTCATAACAAATGCACGCGCCATTACGTGGCACGTTTACAAACGCGTCATCCCGTGAAGGCTTCCATCCCGGATCGTTGTATAAGCTTGGCATTTATTTTGGAAAGCCTTGGACCGTCCTGGCGAGTTTGGGGTGACTCGGGGTCGATCTTGAATACCCCTAGGGGTTCCCTTGCAGTTGGGGAAGCGAGGTCGCTAAACCGCGTATCATGTAAATCTCAGCTCCCGGAACTCCCCGGCATCTTCCGGCTCCTCTCCAGCTTGCTATGTATGCTAAGTGCGTTTTGCAAGGACATTTTTGAGCTCCTATCGGCGATGTTACCGACTGTAGGGCCACTGAATCTAGGATAGCCGTTTCCGCGGGACCTGGGCCTTCCGGAAGGATAAGGCTTGCTCGTGGGTTCTCCCTCTTTTCTTGGGGCCGATTTTCCACTTTTCTCTCCTTTTCTTTGGCGTATCTCGGCAAATCCGCTGTCTCGGGGCGTGAAGCGATGGACGGGCCGCTCTTCTGGGCTACTTTGTCTTCTCTGCGCGAATCGATACGACGTCGTCGACACGCGCCCCAAGAATCTCGTCAACCCATCGATTCCGGATTCGGTGGTCGATTCTTGACTTATCGTTTTGCAGATTTGCAAGATGAGCAATCATATACAGAGGAACGGAACGACGGGGAACAGAGGGCTTAATTCATGGTAATTGGCGAAACCCAAAAGGCAAGAATCCCCGAAAACGTGGAAATCGTCCTTACTATGTCAATAGAATAAGAGTTTAAGGTGAAGTCAAACCCCTCTCAAATCAGTCGATTCGAATAAGACACTTTTTTCTTAAGGGTATTGGATCGAACCGTCTGAAAAGTTGACACATGACTCATGAGCACCGAGGAATTATCATGAGACTTACAAAATTTGCATTTTCCAAACAAACATTTTAACTTTGCTCAGGCCAGAACCAAAATGACGTCGAGCTCTCATATTTCGATTGATAACCAATTATCGAAGGCTCTAACATGAGAAACGAAAGTGTCAGAACTATTGTACGACAATTTAGAACACTCTGGTAATCGAGAAACTCACATTTCAACGAGATAGAGGCAAGAAAAAATGTCTTATGTGCTTCTATGCGAAAACGATGGGAATACGAGGTCTCGGAGTGAAAATTTAGTTAAGACGAAAATCACAGAGGGCGCAGGGGATCCTTCTGCAATGAATTAGGGCCTAAGAAACCATGAATTCAGAGGATTTCTGGAGTTTTACACATATGTTTTAATCATCATTGTACGAAAACGACAGGTGGAGTATGCTTCTTAGTACAATACTCAATATAATTTGACACAGCTGTTAATATAAAAATGAACGTCGGCAACGTAGGTATTTAAAAAAACCTTTTTTACGTCGATCAAGTTCCTCGACTTGTTTCACTTCGCCTTAATAAAGGAGGGAGGACCAACGTAGAGACTGGGAACGGTGGATCGAAAACGGTCTGTTAGAAATTACTGAGCAAGAGGAAAAAACAATTCCCTCGACGAATCTGACTGCAATCGCTTTGGTTTCGGGCGTACCTCTCGATTGACGATCGTTAGAGGGTAACCCCCGTCGGAGAGGGGAAAAACATTATTAAAAAATTTCCTTGCTCGTAGATGAATGAGAAAGCCAACAAGTTCCTTCATTGGAGCATTTTGCAGGCAGAGAAACGAATTCATATTCTTATCCGATTTGAATCAGCATATTTTTTTTATAACCTGTCTCTGGCTGATGAATGCGGAATCAATGCTGCAGATGCTTGCAAGTTCTTTAAAGCTCTTCTAAGCTTGTATGAAAATGACATTATGGCAATTGACGGGTTTAAAGGACCCGACCGCTTCTGTTCAAATTATGAGGGAGACTATCGATAATCACCGTATCGGAAGGGAATGCCGTGAAACAGGATTACCGCAGGTTTATTTAGGTACGTACATTCGCTAATTAAGCAACAATTATCAGGCACATATTTAAAAAAATATGTGTATCGATAATTACATAGCTAAGAGCAATCGAACGAGGAACGGAATTCAAAGGACACCTTCCTTGAGAACGTGCATACGTGCTTTTGGAAACTACAAACAGTAATTATAGAACGGTATTGAAAACTACGGCTAAACCGCTCGCGATATCGTTCAGACTTATGAATCAAAGGAAAATATTCTTACTCGAAAATGAAAATGAGAATATATTTTGTATTAAAACCGTGCTGGATCATTTAGGCCGTTTATGCCATCTTTTTCCTTACGTAACTTATTGTTAGCAGGGTTTTAACTTTCTTATTAGATACATAAATTCCCTAATTTAATTTGTCTCAAAATGAGATTTGCTTTTTTATGAGTAAGGTTTGATGTACTTACTTGAAGAAGTACGTGTCATTGACGTAGCCGAAAAAGGGAACAGTGTAGGTCAGCATCCAAATGTTGCCTCCTCCGCAGTCGTAGTACGGCTTCGACCATCGTCCGTCCTCGTACCTCACTGTCAAAATCTCGTCCTCCGAGCGCTCCGTGTGCGACGTCTCATTATGCCTGTACGTGTGGAAGCCTGAAAGCACGCAACGAAAGCGACACATTAAGGCGGTCGTATTGTGTGATAGGTCCAAAAAATTGAAAAATATTTTATTTTATAAATTGCTTCTATAATATGTCCTGAATACGAAGAATAAAGGATTTATCGATATTCAAAGTCGGTGGGTAGTTACAGGTGTAGAACGAAGTAGGTGTTCGGAGAGAGGGGTGGAGCACCGGAGCCTTCGTTATGATGAATTCAATGAATTCAATGAATTCAAAGAATTCTACCTGCTACCTAAGACCTTTCTATCTAATGCCCATGTAGAAGAGAACCTAAACTCATTTGAGATTTATTCCTGTGTTAAATGAGATGCTACAGGAATGATTAGTTTAGTTTCGGCTTGGCGTTTGTGCGGCGGGTATTTAAAAATTGCATTTTTTATATTGGCTGACACGATTTCTCAAAAACTCCTGAATCGATTTTGCTTAAAATTTATATGGGATGTTCAGTACATTTATGGTTCTCGCTCTAAGTAGGATAATTGCGATATCTGTCATAGTTTTTTTTGAACAAGCTTAAAAAGTTGAAAAGAAGACAAAAATCGGAACTAAATTTTCAGAACCGTGAGAAAAATTTAATTTTCAATATTTTCATTTGATCCTAGTTCCGACTATAGCCGCAGGTCTACGGATTAAAATTCCATTTCATTTTTTGATTTCCGATAAACGGAACAGCCGAGATCATGTCAGCCTTCAACCTACTTCTTTTTCACATGTACGTCTTTCGACCGCTGTGAAGTCGATTCCAATTTATAAGTTTGCTCGAAAAAATTCTGGGTGACTGCATAAATGTTAATAAATATATTGTAAAAATTCCAAGATGGGGTATTTTCCTGGTTCCTTAAAAAAAAAAAAAATGACAAAGGAAGCGAAAAAATACAGCCGTCACCCGGTACGACTGCCTTAAATCGATCCCCGATTTTCTGCAAGTGCGACATCCGTTAAAAAGCCTAAATTCGCTTCCGATAATCGAGGAAAGTACGCGTCCACGAACGAAATCCGATTCATCGGAAAACGCACGAAACGGGCCAAATTTAATCCTAAATGGGATCGGATCGCATCAATGGGATCCCAAGTATTACGGCGTAATCCCGCTTATTATTTGTTGTCACGAAACTGTATAAGTATCTAGATTATTTGCACAATTCTTTTAATTACGTTTTTTTAGAACTGTAATTTATATTTATAGTTTCTAACTGAAATAAACATTGTACAAGTGCATCCTCCGCGTTTCCCCCTTTTAAAATACTTTATATTTTACCATTTCTCAAGCCTTTGAAGTATGATGGGCTTCATTACCCAGAAATACCTTCCTTCAAATGGGGGAAAAGTATTTTTTTAAGTACCATTTGACGTACGTTTTTAAGGGAATAAATATATTTAATATCATTTTTCTGTATTTCGGAAGGGAAGAGGCTCACGGATAAGGAGAGACAAGTGACTGAAATTTCGTATATCGCTTTGACATTTCACTTTTCCACATCCCGACCATATAGGTACAAACTGCATTTCACTGGATGGACTTTCGAATAAACGACGTTTTACGCTATTGGATCCTTGCATCCAAAATCAAATCGATTCGGGCATTCAGGGGGTGCTTTCTCGTTCACGATTTCCCAACTTTCCGGTTTTGGGGCAAATCCCTAACTCTTTTGGGGTGAATCGCCTCCCGGATCCCGAATCTTCGTACTTCTCTCTTGTGCATCGGCGAGGGGGAATTTCCATCAGAGTAATTGAGGGATCTCAGGTAGTTTACTTTAACTAGATTCTGTGTAAACAATCTGGGGTCAGTCTGTAACTATTGATTTAAACAAATGGATTCGGTCAACGGATAGGGGAATTTAGGTTTGCGCAAAAAGGATTCAAACTTCATCAAGCTGTAAAGGAAGACTCAACCCAAACGGTACGACGACTAAAATATGTCTAAAATATGACGAATTTCCCGAAAAGTCATTTCGTCATTATAGAATATTGTCGACAAAAAGAAGACGAGAAGATGTTTTATGCATCTTTTAGACAAGACGAAATTCAAACATCTTTTCGTCAGCTTATATTTGGTGTTATTTTATTTTGAAATTTTGAAATTTGTTAGGCAAACCGATGTCAAATGGACGTCTATTTCAGAAGCTTGTGTGATGTATTTATATGATCCCTAGGAGAAATGCTTATAAATTGAATTCCTTCAAAGGGCGTGATATTGACAAGAAGAGGCACAAAAGGAGGGGGTGTTAGGTCCTGGGCGGAGCTGTTGAGCCAGCAGTGTTCCAATATCTGAAACAGTTGAATTTATGAACCTCATTCTACGTGTACCTCTATGGTTAATCATTTTCCCCACTCCCCATAAATACTTGCTGACCCGTTTCCATCCAAAAACCAAGACGTGTACCCTCAGTAATTCCAAGACAGTGAAAAATAATTGAATACTTCATTGGGTACGTTCTAAAAATGATTTCGTTACTAGAGACTGTCCAGATCTGAAATATTCTCAGATTCACGAAGGTCTGAGGAAAGAAGGGAAAAAATGGAAAATGTTTTATATCCTCGGTTACGAGCATATTTATTTCAACCCTTTCTGTCATCAAACCACTTCCACCTGGCATGAATGGCACTAAAACGTTCATTTCCCGTACTGATCGACATAAACGATGGACCTGACGAGTCCTGTCGGGCCCTGATGCCCTCCACCTATTATCCGGTTAATATTTCGACTGACAATGAAGCTCATTTACGGAGCACTGTAAAACCCCTGTTTTACGACCGTTACATCCTCGTTCGTTCTTTATACCCCGGTTTATTCATTTTCCTTTCTTCTCTCGGTCGCGTGGCTTAAAATCAAACAATACCGCCGACATGACGAGTATTTCCTCCTTTACCTAGGTAAAGGGGTCGATCGGTTCTCTTCCAAGAATAATCAGGGGAATTAAATCAGCCCTCGTACCCTTTCATTCCTCGGTACAATATTGAATAAAGTTTCCGGTTACCATTACTTCTTGGGAAGTATAAGCATCGATGAAAGAAAATGTTAAGTTTTATTTTTCTTTTCTTCAATCGTCTCGTTAGCTGATATACTTAAGGTGACATGAAAGGACCATTCTATATATATAAGTAGTACAAATATTTATAAAACTTTTCTTCAAACCGGGGGCACCGAGTCATTTGAAACTCCAGCACGTAATTATGAAGGCTCTATAAAATAACGCGATGCTCGTGAAATTTCGTTTGTCAACAAAAATTTTTTTATTTAGCCCAGATTAAAACCAAAATCACCTTTTTTTTATAAAAAATGAAATTTCACGAACATTGCGTTCTTCTTTGGAGCCTTCATAATCATGTGCTTAAGTTTCACATGACTTGATGCACCCAGTTTGGAGAAAAGTTTTATAAATATTTTGACGTTTTGTACATATAAAATGACCCTTTCATATCACCTTAACAAGAATAGGGAATCGTATCAGGAAATGAACCCCTCGATAGTGGTTATTAGTTTTACCATATGCACTTATAATAATAGGCCCAAAAATTCGATTCTCCGCGGGCCGCATATTCTGGTTTACCAGGAGCTCATATCTAATCATCGGTTTCAAGAGCTTCACGTGTGCGGTAAAACCAGTAATCAAGGGATGGAACCCTTCACGGTTGGTATACTCTCTAATCGCATCGCCCGTAATTCTCGGGGGAATCGATCGCAGCTCAAGAGTATCACCAAGCTTACAACTAAAGGAACTCTGCTACCTCCTCATTGCTAAGGCCGAAATTGCTCAAGGAACTTAAATTTTTACAAACTACGCGTATCTAAACTGAGAACAAATTTTATTTCTTTCGAAGAAATGATTTCTTTGAATGGAGTTAAACTGTAGCAACAAGTCAAAGAAATATGATCTTCGTTTAAAAATGTCGACTCTTTAAAGTGAAATGAAACCTCCCTCAAATCAGTTGTGACGATATACCCCGTGGGCGATCGTCCTAGGGGCAATATTTCGCTCTTTAATTGACTAAAATGAAATCATTTCTATCCAGCAAACACAGCGAACATATTTAAACTTTTTTACGAATTGAGTGTATAGAATCGTTTCAAATTTTACAACATAAATATGAAGGCTGCAAGGAAGGTTCTAACACCCATGTGATAAATATTCATAGAACACAAACGACATTTAGGAAAATTAAAAGACACCTCATGTAATCTAACAGTTTTAATACATACTTAATGTTCATATCTAAATCCGAACTTGATAAAACTGTCTATACCATGATTTTTTATTTATTGCTTCCTTGGCTGGGGATTATACGTGATTTTTACCCAGTATGTAAATTATGATGCATTACCAGATACCGTATGAAATATAATATACGTATAGTCGACAAACAAATTCGGATATAAGTATAGAAAACTTACATCTATGGGATGCATAACAAAAATACCCCATGAATATATGTGTACATGTTTTTCACGCCAATATCTTCGGTACATGTGTCACAGAAATCTAGGTAACGTATATGGAAGAAATTTTGTTCTCGATTTACAGAAAAGAAATACCCGCCGAGTTCGTTTTTGTCAACGATTTCACCACTGCTTAGGCTGAAAAAATTAAAGACTGCTTAGGCCGAGAAATCATAGCTTTTCCCGTATGTCTATACTTCGTGACTCCCACAGGACCCGTGTCCGCAATGAATGCGGAACTTGGCCAGTTACCGAACTTCAATGCTCGTATCCAGTCCATGAAATTCGAGATATTGAACTTTGATAAGTCATGTGCATACTAATAACCTCCCAGGCTCAAACTACCAGCAGCTGCGATCCCAGATGCCTCGTCAGTGGGCTATGACTATTCTTGTAGCGATATGTGTAATTCATTACAAATTTTAATAATTTTTATCTAATAAAGTACATCGGAGAAAGGTTTACAAAGTGTCATGTCTCGATTAAGTAATCTTTAGTATGAGGAAGGGGGGGAATAGAAGACTTGATTATGC